GGCTTCTTGCTTGAGATGCTTTTGCAGGCTCTATCAAAGAGAATTCATTACGGTAAATTTGTTGCAGAGGCTAAATTTCGGGAATCCCCTTTCAGTATACGAAGAAGCCATTAAGGCGCAAGTAAAGTTCCTCAACCTCATTTCTTCTCATAATTCTCTTTCCCCCCATAAGAAGTATCTTTGGGTTACATAAACTTGAAGAACTGAGATGTGATGGTGTGGGGAAATGTGGGTTTTGCAGGACAGGGAAAGACTAATGGAACTGTTGACATATGAAAAAGTAGAAGCAGCAGTTAAGGAGAGAACAGAGATGAAAGCAAAAACATTTGGACAAGAGGTAAGAACCAAGGAAGGGGATGACGCAGCAGATCCTGTATACAAAATCAAGCCCAGCTTAGTAGGGAATCTATATGAGCAGTGGATCATGCCTTTGACTAAAGAAGTTCAAGTGGAATACTTGTTGAGAAGGCTTGACTGATATGAACATGTATAGTTTTGTCATCTTCACTCATTTTGGAGTGTAGTGGGAGCATGGATCAGAGAAAATTATATGGAGATTCATGGTCTTCAAGCATAATTAACTAGTTATATTATTTTTTAAATTACAAATTAGTCTTTATTTAATAAGTAATAGAATTAAAGGTTGTAGTAACCTTTCCAAATATTTATGTACTGACCTTATTAATAATATTCTGTCTCAAACGCAAAAGAAAGCTACCAATAGATACACTCTATTACCTTATACAGCATGCATACATTAAGATAATATATACAGGTACCTGTACTACTCTTGTTAAACAGGTTAATTTATTATAAAAATAAATTATTTATCAATGTGTATGATATTAAAATTAGGCTTCATATGTATATACATATATATAAGTATAATTTGTGTATAAACAAACAAAATGTCAGGACCTTCTAGTCATATTCTTCAGCTGCATATATATACATAACAGTCGGATTAGTGGATCTTTTTGCTGAAGTTATTTAAAGAATTTATCCAAGTAAAATTATAGAATTATCGCATTAAAAAAGGGGGGTCATTATCAACTTTTGAGCTGGAAAATAAATGACCTAAACCCCACTGCCCATGTGCATTTGCATCATTCAACCCTCAATTTGATAATATTTTTAGCATAAGAATTAACAAGTTAAAATATATTTGTATATCAATAACTTGTAATATTAGTAGAATTAGGATGATTAAGTTAAACTATCATATTTTTTTAATAATTTTTTTAATTATAATAATAACAGTAAATTTTAAAAAAAAACTAATTTAATATTTTTATTTATTAAAAATATCACCCATGAGTTTTCCTTAAAAAAAATTACGGTGTAAGAAATAAAAAGACAAAAAAAAAAACAAAAAAAATAAGTCTTATTTAATTGTGGTCGTAAAACAGTTTTTTTTTTTTTTGTAGGGGTAATTAACGTAATTTTATTAAAAAATTAAAACATTGTATTTTATTATTAGTTAAAAAATAATATGATAATTTAAAATATGATTTTATCTAAAGATGGATAATATTTATTTATTGTTTTTTTTTTTTATCTAGAGGTGCTCACTGCAGGTAAAATTGGTAAATTTTACTTGTAATAGTATTGGAAAAACACGAGCAGTAAATTCTCGTATTCAACAGTAAATCAGCATCCGACGTTCATATGAAAAGACGAAAAAGCCCTCATAGTTTCTCTCGATAACTGTGACGCGCCGCTTTTCTTCCTCCACAGTACAGCTACCTGCATGTCTCTCTCTCCCTCTCTCTCTCTCTCTCTCTCTCTCTCTCCTGTATAGATACAGATTGACAGAGATTTGACCATTACTGTCTCTCGGCTACTGTACTCGCACAAAACGAGGA